CCACATAGGTGTCAGCGCCCCCACACACCTATCCCAAATGAGGGTGTCATTAGGTGTTCCCCGCAGTACCCAACTTCATAGCGATGCCACTGGTTATTAATGATGTCACTCAGTGCTTTTTTTGTAAAAAAATAGGTGCTGGGTACTCAGTGATGGATTGCCTAATTTTTAACTACCAGTTCGCACCTCGATGCAAGTTAAATCACAACTGCAAAGATGCAATTTTAAAATAATTCAATTTTAACAAATTAATAATATAATAAATAAAAAATAAACGTTAAAATACAAGAAATGTAATAATTTTTTCCCCACATTGAAAAAGGTGCCGGCACGCCGTACCGGTGCGTACGTCACAAAAAAGCACTGATGCCACTGGTTATTAATGACGCCACTGGTTATTAATGACGCCACTGGTTATTAATGACGCCACTGGTTATTAATGACGCCACTGGTTATTAATGATGCCACTGTTAATTAATGACGCCACTGGTTATTAATGACGCCACTGGTTATTAATGACGCCACTGGTTATTAATGATGACACTGTTTATGACCAATATCACTGCTTATGACTGATGCCACTGGTTATTACTGATGCACTGGTTATCAGCGATGCCACTGGTTATCACCAATGTCATTGGTGATGACTGATGCCGCTGGTAATGACTAATGCCACTGACTGGTTATCACCGAGGCCCCTTGTTAAGACTGATCCAACTAATTATGATTGATGCCGAAGATATTTATTGATTATATACATTTGTGACTCCCTTTACATGTCGACTAAATAAATGACATGTTTTCTGTATTACTTTCATTTTGAAACGCTTATTTTAAGCTACATTTTAAAAAACCACCAAGCTTATTAAAATTAATAAAATTAAACTTACAAGTAATGCGAAACTATTTATTGACAAGATGTTTACAAGTTTTTAACTACGTTATTTTTTAACGGGGTTAGTAAAACCATGTACACTTCACAGGCGATAGAAACACAATCAACTAAATGTTGTTTGTTAAAAATGAAGAAAAGTTTAAACTTTTCAAATTTCCAAGGAGCTAATGGTAAAACTTATCCAGTTTCCTGATCCGAGATCCATATGTTTTGTTAACTATTTTCTGGAATAGCTAGAGCCGTTCAAAGAAAGTTTGTTATTGCGCTTGCACAGTGAATTCAAGATTGCGCTAGGATTCTACGTGTACCGTTTAAATTCGATTTGAGTTAAATTAATGATCTAGCAACCTTGTGGGATTTTGTTGTGTTACAGAATTTTCAAGTAGTGGAAACATTGACATCTTTAGAAAGAACCCCCTCCTTGCAAAAAAAAAACAAAAAAAAAAACAAAAAAAAACAGATGATTGAGAAAAACAACCGAAATTCCTAAAATTGGATTTAAGTTAAATTAATGATCTAGCAACCTTGTGGGATTTTGTTGTGTTACAGAATTTTCAAGTAGTGGAAACATTAAAATCTTTAGAAAGAACCCTCTCCTTGCAAAAAAAAAACAAAAAAAAAAACAAAAAAAAACAGATGATTGAGAAAAACAACCGAAATTCCTAATCAAATGCTTCATTTGGAAGGCTCTGCAAGAGTCTTTATGAGCGTAGGGTTCTCAGACTGGTCACTAAGCTCTACAGGGCGGTCGTACGAACATTTTTTTGATATTAATTATTATGCTAGCGAGATGTGGCCTGTGTAAAGCAGAACGTGTCAGTCATGGGCGCCCGCAGAAAACTTTCTAGGGGAGGGGGGGCAAAAAAATTGATTAACTTTCCAGGGGGGGAGGCAAACAATTTTTTAGGAATGTTTTAATATAGTTTTAATTTACTGTAGCGTATTTGTATGGTAAACGAACGGACAGAACATCAGCTTAGTTACTTTCTCTTTATTTTCTCTGTACTTTAATAAATTTTTGTCTAATTTTGTCTAAAAAAAAATTATCCAATCAATCCAGGGGGGGCAAGTGCCCCCCTTGCCCTACCTGCGGGCGCCCATGATGTCAGTCTACTAAACCGTATCCACCTACGCTGTCCACTCAATGTCATGGTAAATGGTAGCAGGGCAAAGTCCCCGACACAGAAGTCTTGCAACAAACACGCCGACTTTATTAGCATCATCACCTGTCCTACAAGAAGATTAATTCAGATGAGCAGGGCATGCTGCGAGAATACATAACAGCAGACTTTCCAAAAAACTTAGTTTGGTGTACTCTGGAGTGGGAGGCGCTCAGTTGGAGGGGAAGGGGCAGATAAATTGCTTTAAAAAAAACTGTTTGAAAGCTTTAGTCAAATCAATGGACATTAACTAAAATTCGTGGGGAATGCTACTGCTCGTTCCAGCTGGCGAAGGAGCGCACAATCTTCAAAGGAGTATGCGCACCCCTCATGCTCAAAGAAAGTGCACAATAATGAAAATCAGTGTCGTTTCCAATCCAAATTAGATCCCAAGGCACGAGAGTCCTACTTGCTTGAAAACTTTCCAGGCACAATAGGAATGCCAAGAACGAACGAAGACGTCTTCAGTTTTGTATTGATGAAAATATTGCAAAAATGATGGACTCTAGTGACCAAGGGGCTTTCGACAAAAATGTGTACGTGGACATTTATTCGCAAGTGTTATTTTAATATAGAGATGACCCCGGAGACCTCTGATATCACCACCCTTGGCGGACCACCAGAATTTTTTTCCGGTGAAACGCTAACTGTATCTCCAGTCATGTGTTCTAGGATTGTATCCTAAAATATGCATCAGCCTTATCAACAAATTTTGTCAACCGACGTCCGATTATTCACGCTGTTTGGTAATGCCTTCTTCCCAAAATTTCAGAAACCTTTCCTTTTCATGAATGGGCTAGATCATTACTGGTCATATATACCGTGACCAGCAGGCGAGGCTCATAAAGAGTGCTTATATTTTAGTATATTTTAAAGTATTTTTTATTAAACTAGAATTTATGACACGATGTTACCTAGAAATAACTGTCATGCAGTTGGCAATTCTCTCTACTTACTATTGCGAAGTCTCATCAGAATTCTTTATTAATGTAATGATGTTTAAATTTTTACATTCATTAAGTTTTGAGAAGTATTTCTCTGGTATATAAAATAGGCGAACCCTTCTTCATTTCACTCCCTTAACTACATTTTTTTCTCTCGAAAAATTGTTTAAAAAAAATTCGTTAAGTGCACAAAATATACAAACATATATCAGATGAAAGTTATCTTGAATTAATTGCATTATTTAAAAAAAGCATACAATCAATAAGGTACTCATGAAAACATTAAAATTGATACAGAACTGGAGGTTACTTGCTTTTATTTGAATGTCACTTAAACGTTTGTTTTTTTTAATGAATACGATGAATAAAAGAAATTAATATTGCTAACATTGTTTTGTTATTCAAATCGTAACAATTGGAATATAATAAATATAGATAATAATTTAAACTAAATAATTTTGTCCAAGCTCTGATGGCTTAATATTTATTAGATGTAGACATGTCATCAATACTGGTATTAGTAGGCCTCTTTTTGATAGTTTCAGGATGTTTGCAATATGTACCTGGAATGAAAAAACCAGCTAAAATATACATTCATATAAGTAAAAAAAAATAAAATAACTTTAAAGTCTGTGAAGTAAACCTAAATTGTGTAGTTTATAAATAATGTTCGTAAAAAAAAAATTTTCTCCTTCTTTTATTTAAATTAAATTAGTGCACTGAATAGATGAATACAAACTCATTCAGTGAACACTTTTATTCATTAGAGGAGACTGATGTGAGTCGCCTCTTTGGTTTTTTTGGTATGTGGCTTATATTTTGAAGACGAGAAAAGATGTGATACAATAACTTCAAAGGTTATATATACACAGACGCAAGAATTCCCTGCATACTTGAATTTATAACGTTGAACTAGAAAACTTTAAAAAAAGAACGTATATGTTTATTGGACAAATAATTAAGAAAAGCGATGGATAAATGAATCAGCGCTTATCGTTTACGTGTTAAAGAATTGTTCGAGTTTGTTGTGGTGTGTTTCATGCTAAGAGCATTTTGTGTAGCCGTTGATACATGATTTGTATTTTGTGACGTATTTGGATACGGGAAATGACAATAATAATTTTGTTATTGCTTAGATGGGCGGAACGGAGTAGTGAGTAATGGAGTGTGAAAAAATGGAGTGTTAGTGATGGAGTGTTAGTAATAGAGTGTTAGAAATGGAGTGTTGGTAATGGAGTGTTAGTAATGGAGTGTTAATAATGGAGTGTTAGTGATGGAAAGATAGTAATAGAATGTTAGAAATGGAGTGTTGGTAATGGAGTGTTAGTAATGGAGTGTAAGAAATTGTGTGTTAGTAATGGAGTGCCAGTAATGTAGTGCTAGTAATCGAGTGTTAGTAATGGAGTGCCAGTAATGGAGTGGTAGTAACGGATTGATAGTAATGGAGGGTTAGTAATTAAGTGTTAATAATGGAGTGCTAGTAATGGAGTGCTAGTAATGGAGTGTTAGTCATGGAGTTGTAGAGTGAGAACAGGATGAAACAAGACGCTGTTTATTTAATAAAGGAGACACTTGTCTTATAACTCACTGGTTTCTTCAATATTTAAATTACCCCTAGAAAACGAAGCCATTGAAATGACAAGGCAACAACTCCTGTTTCCTTTACAAATTTTCGGAGTTGAATGAAAGCATTTGAAAATTTTTTTTAAAAATGGAAAAGATAGGATTGTTTATTTCATACAACTTGAAATTTGGCATTCTCTTTAAGATTCCTCATTTTGAAAGTTTTCTTAAATCCACTTTAATCATTGGCGTGTGCAATTTAAATATTCTTTACACAATAAATCTGTGTTGTTTTTCCATAAATGTGTATAGAAATACTTCTAAAAAATAGTATTAAATTAACAACAATAGAAAATACGAATCCGGCTATAAAAAGAAAATAAGCTGATTATGTAGAACAGAGTTGAGCTTTGGGGAAAAAAAAACTTGGATAGTTACCGACAGTGCCAGCAGGATGCATTTAGCTTATTTTATTTTCTCTTTCCTTTTTTTTTTTTTAGCAACGATTTGTTTCAGACACGGGCCTTTTCCTCATTATCGCTCTGCACATGCAGATGACACACAGGAGTAGCATAAAGCTGATCAAGCCAACTCCGACTCCCATGGAGAAAATAATAATTTTATCTCGCTCTGAAACTCCCTGTACCTGGGTAATAACTTGAAAAAAAAACAACAAAGTATTAGTTGGTGTTCAATGAGAGGACGTTCGCACAAAATATGCATTCCCCCCTCCCCCTCCTCATGGGCCCCCTTGTATGCGTTTGTCCGACTTGTGCGCACTTGGGTCATCCCCTGCCCCCCCCCCACTCTTTTCCCGGAGGATGCGGACATGCGCATACGTATCCGGAAAGTTACAGGGAGAATGCCTGGCAGTCTATTAGCGATTATCAAGAGCAAGGAACCATTAATTTAAAATCCATTGATTACGTTCGTAACTGCGGGGGGGGGGGGGGAAAGGGGTTTTTGCTGATTTTGGGAGATTATGCGAACTGGATCGTACGTAGGGGAAGTCTGCAGAAAGCGTGCACATTTAATAAGTATCTAAAAGTAAACAGCTCTCTACTAATCTCTAATAAAGTCAACTGTCTCTTAAAAATCTCTGAAATCCAAACATGTTTTTTTTTTTGCCTTGTATAAGTCCTAAGAAGTCATCGACATTTGTGTATCTATCGTCATAGTGTTTCCTTGTGTTTGCGCTTGTTAGATAAGACGAGAGTCATTGCTTTTCGTTCGTGATTCTGTGCCTGTGCCTGTGAGGTAATTTTTGTCATAATAATTTCGTGGGGGCTGAATCAAACCGATGAACGAGCTGAACACAAGGTAGGACGGGCCCATAATGCGTATGTCACCAAGCGTTCTAAGCTTTCTTTTACCCAACGAACCTAACTGATCACCTAACACATTTTAATGGATGCCAAACCAAGAAATGGGGGGGGGGGAAGTGTTCTTAATGCTCCATCATAAAAGATTGAATTTCAATTATTTTGCAGCCATTTTATGACTTAAGATTCATAATTGTAGGATAAAACTGGCACAAATAATCGAACTATATTTGCATTGCACTATACGAATCAAAATAAAGATGTTGACTTTAAAAACTTAAGTCTTAATAATACACCCCCCCCCCCCCCCCCCATTTTGAAACAAATACATGTCTTATATCCCGTAGCTTCAGCGGTGCTACAGACAGTTGCCCCCCACCAGGTTGGGACAATGGATTAGCCGCTCACGGTAACGAAAGACGCTGAAGTTGGTCGAGAAATTGACGCTTCTGACTATAGACAAAGACGTGCTGCTCAGGACGGACTGCTTCTTGACCCTCTTTTTTCCCTATGCCAAGAGTCCTTTAAAATTGAATATGTCCTCCTATGATCAACAAAATGCCGTTCTTGTAAGGGTGGGGCCTCGAAATAAGTTAGGTAACACCGGAATGCGATCGTCTGACCTTAATTGATTTCATTAGTGTACGTCATAATGATTTATAACACGATTTTGGTGAGGGCTTAAGCAGAAATTTCATTACACTTAAGCATGGGGGGGGGGGGGGGGCAATGTCCAAAAAGGACGGATGCAGTAATGGGCTCGAAAAAGGGGAGAGGGGGGGGGGGTCTGAATAAAAACTACTCTCATTTTTCAAGTGTGACGAGAGATAGCTATTAAATATGTTTCGGTCACATAGTGTCTTGACGAAGCCGTTACTAAATTCTTGCTAATAATAATATATTTGAAAAGTTTTGTAAATAAATCAGCTGGACACTTGGTGACACTTAATTATTACAATAAAACAAAAGGTTGGCGGACGTTCGCAAGAACCTATACCCTCCTTCACCCCTCCCTTGTCCGCATTTGTCCGTTTTCGCACGAACCCCCGATCCCATCACCCCCGTCTCCGTGGGCGTCCTTTATGGGCGACGCCTTATTATTTAAAATAAAAACTATGATTAGTTTGTAACCAGTTCAAACAATTGAATAATTAAAAAAATATCTTACATTTCCAAATTTAATCTTTGTTTTTCATTATTTTTTTTTTTTAAATTGTTTCCATGAGTATTTTTTGTCTTACCTTTCAGACATTTAATAAAGTTTTTTTTTTTTTCCGTGCCTACCTTGGTCGCACAGGGGGCCACTGTATCCAGGGAGGCACTTTAAACAAGATCTATCGACACGATCGCATTCCCGGTTTTCGCATTTCTCCGGACAGGGCAAGGAGCAGGTGTTGCCGTGGAAGCCTTTAACACAGCCTATGAACAAAGACATAGCATCTTGACTCTCTTTATTTGTGGACACGGCAAGGTACGAAGCAATAAAGAGGCTCTAATAATAACATATTTTGGACGGCATTTTTAACACGCTATTTTATTTTACCAAAAACAAAAAATAATAAAAATAAGGCCATCGAATGTGTATTCTTAACAAAAGTAATTGTAAAGCTAATCTGTCGCATACGGTGGTGCTTGGTAAAACAATTTTAAAAGAGCAAATTTGTATTAAAGAAGATGGTTGAGTAACTTTGTTTTAGTTTATGTTTAAGAGCTGACAGCTAACAGCGAGTACTTGCTTAATTTTATCATTCATGATGTGTTCACATGACAAGACTCTTACTGACTAACCTTAAGAGGACCAGTCTCCAGTATGTTATGGATTGTTTTAATGTAACTTTAAATTTGATAATTTAATGAGTTTTGGCATAAATTATTACAATGTTGCAGGTGCTCGTTCCTAAAGAATATCTTCAAACTATAGCCTGGGAGCTAAGTGCGTATTTGCTTCATGTTATCATTCATGACGTTAGAGTCATTCTGTGTGCACCGAAGATGACTAACACTTATTAAGACACTTATTAACAACGACCAGTCTCCACAAGTTATGCATTATTTTAGTGGTAAATTTAACTTGATAATTTAATGAGTATTTGCATTTTAAAATAAAAACTTTGATGTCGTTCATTCCTAATGATAATCTTTTTACCATAGCCAAAATGGGTGACATTGTTCTTGAAACGTGGTAAAAGTTGGAACTGTGCACATTTCTTTTGATTTTTCATCAATATAAATCGTGACTATATATATATATATATATATATATACATATATATAAACTTTGTAAATGATTTTTTTTTTTAAATACCGCTCTTATCTAAGAGCCTAAAATCGTATGATTTGTTTGTAAATTAACAAATTGATAGATTTAGACCGGTGGGAAAAGGCTGAAAGATACAGAATATATACATAATGTGCATGACGATAATATCTGTTTAATCTTTATTGGTGTCATTTTTAAACACGTGAAACTTTTTCTTGAAAATGGCAAAACGAATTGAAATGAGAAATTAATATGAAACAAAACAAATGGCGATTACACAGGCTTTTGAAATCAATTTTGAAACAGTCATTTAGAATATATATATATATGTCATCCTTTCGTCTTCGAGAGACGATGGAGTAGCTATGTAGTCCTACACTTCGACGAGTGGCTCACTTGGCCAATCCTAGAATGACAATCTCGACTGCATTTCTGGCAGGAGAATATTGATTCCTGGTAAGATTTTGACTTCCGTATGGTGCTTTTTGTTGCAACGGCCTCGTTTCGCCTATCTTCTTTCCCCCTTTTTTTTTTCCTTTATGCACTGCTGTTCGCCAGCTGGAACGTGTATTCCGTAATGAGCTACCTTTCGTTGTTTTCAATATTGGCTTCCCTCATGCCCCTTTTGCAAACGTCCATAAATCTGAGGCGTGGCCGTCCGATAAGTCGTGTCCCTTCTGCCAACTCTCCATTCAGCAGCATCTTTGGGATACGGCCTTCCTCCATTCTGCTTACATGACCTAACCAGCGAAGAAGCCGCTTGCTAAAAGCGGAGAATATGCAACACATTTGAGCAAGTTCCAAGGAACCTTTTACAGCCATCGCATTCGTAAAATCAGACGCAGACATCTTTGATGTTCCGCTCCTGACTGGTATATTATGTGCTCCACAAAATGATGCCATGTAGGAGCGCACTAGGCACACATGCGCGATAGACACTTTTTTTTTAATCAGTTAGATTGATATTATTCCCCACCCGCTTATGCAGTTTAGCCATAGTTGCTGCTGCTTTTGCGATCCTCATATTTATCTCTTCATCAACGGAGAGAGCACTAGCAATATTGGATCCCAGGTATGTGAAATGCTCAACAACGCAACGATTATGGCCCTACATGGATATATGCCTGATATTTAGAATGTAAGTGAACTAAACTCTTAAATTTATACCAATTTAAATTGAATAATTGTTAAAATAATTTTTAAAAAATTCGAAGTCTTTGCTTAATAGATTGCAGTGTTAGAAAATGTTGTAAATCATTCAAACCTTGATCACAGAATCCAGTGTGCCGGTTGCAAGATGTTTCAATACAATTCGCACCGCAGGAAGATTTGCAATCCTCACCCCACGTTCCTGGTTTACATTCTAAAGGATACCAAATGTATTGATGAAATAGCACTTTGCATAGACTAGCAAAACATGTGTTGTAAAAATAATTACTATCATAAAACTAACAGCAACAAGTCCATAACAAATGAGGTAAAGACGTATTCTAATAGCTAAATTATTATTATTACCCCCCCCCACACACACATACACACACAAAAGCACACACGCAAACAAAAAAACAAAAAAAAAGAAACTTTTATTTCTCAATAGAAGTTAATTGTGGCTTAGTTCGTGTCCAGGGAATTATTGCAGGGGTGTATTAGAAACAATGATAAGATACACAAAAAAAAGTCTGATTCATAGAGGAAGAAAGAAATGCTATCATAGCAATGAAAGTATAGTGTCATTCAAAGTTACTCAAAGTATGGTAAGATAGAATGGGCAGGTATTCGGAAGTATTGCATGGAACTTTTGGAGTCAGTTAAATGAAAATAACAACATATGTTGATTTAAATAAAAAAAATTAGAGGAATCTACCTATAGTTTCATTAGGTTCCATATGGATCACAGGGAACGAAAATATAATGACTAGTTAGCTTAATGAGATTTAAAAATAAATTCATTAACTGGCCAACTGTTAAGGTGGGCACAATTTAAGTTCCTCTATGAAACGTGATATTAGTGCTTCATTTAAGTTCCTCTATGAAACGTGATATTAGTGCTCTATTTAAGTTCTTCTATAAAACCTGATATTAGTGCTTCATTTAAGTTCCTCTATGAAACGTGATAATTGTGCTTGATTATAGTTCATCTATAAAAAGTGAAATTAATTCTTCCTTTAAAATTTCTTTTATCGAACGGTATAGTAATTCTTCATTTATTTTATTGAGCATATCTGGATGGGGATTGGCGTTTCCAAATGTTCGTATTACCTGAAGAGAAAATGAGTGTAAGTGGATGAATTAAGCTAAATCTTAAACACTCAAAATACATCAAATTTCCTCTTCATCTAGCTGATTTATTACAGATGATATAATTAGACACCTAACGAACGCATCGTAGCCCCACACGTCGTGCTCACCATTGTCACAAAAATCTCCAAGGTACCCTGGCATACACTGTAGACAATGACCTGTGACAGGGTCGCATTGCCCGCCTTTACACTTCACTGAACAGGGCGAGGAACAGCTATCTCCGTAAAAGCCATCGGTACAGCCTACGCGTGAGCAAATAATTATTGTATCGTGTTGACAGACTTTGAGAATAAAATAGTGTTAGAAGTTACGTCATAGTATTTTTTTTTTTAAATTTCTGAACAACCTTTAAATATTTCGATTCATTATATCAGTGTTTCTCAACCTTCCTAGCGCTGCGACCCATTTATACAGTTTCTCATGTCGTGGCGACCCCCAGCCACACAATTATTTTCGTTGCTCTTGGGTTGATCCTGTATTTAAGTATATGCCAAAACGTGCCATGTGTACTTGTTTTTATAGCCATTTTAATGTTTTAGCTACTGTTTTTATGGTCAGTTTTCACATTGTAGTTACTATTCTAGTGTCTCTGGTTCTTCATTTTTATTTTACTTTAGCAGTTTAAATAGTGTACATATTTTTAATAATTGTAAAGCGCTTAGAGCTGTAAGGTAAGCGCTATACAAAAATGCCTAAATAATAATAATAATAATATATGTTATCAGGTGGTCTTACGCGACCCCTGGTAAAGGACTAGAAAATATAAATGAAAGGACTGCTTTCAAGCTTAATAAATGAATGAAATAGGAAAACGAGACATGTGGAAGCTTGAAATAAGATAACAGGAAAAAAAACATGGACGTTTCGGCATAAAGCCTTCCCCAGCCAACAGTAGAAATGAAAATATAACAAAGGGGTCGCGACCCACATGTTGAAACCGCTGCATTATATATAGATATATTTTTTTTTTACTTTAATCTAATTTTTTTAATATTTGTGTTTACTTTATAAAGTTTGTCGTCTGGAGGCTAGAACAGTAGGCTTTGCTGAAAGAGCTCAGACTTGAAGGGAACAAAAAGCGCACATTGTGCATGTTGATGGATCACTGGTTTGTATTTCTTATGTTTCATTTTAAACCTAATCTTTATAACAGCTCCCAATTTCATAACAAAACAAAGACGATAACAGTTTTGTGTTAATGTCCATAACAACCTTGATCACACAGTCCATCGTGTCTGTCACAAGATGCGTGTTTACAATGAAAAGGGCAGGAAGATTTGCAATCTGGACCCCATGTTCCTAACGTGCATTCTAAAGAAAACAAAAATTAACGTGTAGCGATTTCATAGAGGTGGAAAATGGGGTGTTCAAATCAAGGGAGTTAACAAGTACTATTACAGCTAAATTATCATAGCTCTACCCCCCCCGCCCCCCCACCCGCACAAAAAAAAATATTTTTTTAAAAATAAAGTAATGAATTGTTTCTTTTATCGTCTTATGGCCATAATAATATTAATTGGTATAATGAAAGGTTAGAAAGACACGATATGTCTGACAAATAATAGAAATACAGGAAAATCTATAATGACAATAAAAGCACAAGCTTGTTCAACTTTTTCATAAGTAAAAAAAAATGGACACGGTTGTGGAACTATTTCATTGAACATAAAGTGCAATTACAAAAAAAAATAATCACTTGCAATAAATGAAAACAACGTTCTTTTGGCGTCAAAAGGTTCCGATTATTGTATTGCAAGGAAAATGTGATGCCATTTTAACGTAATGAGATTTTAAAGAATGCCTTCACTGGTTCGGAGAATTTATAAAAAAAAAAAAATGGTTTGTGTTAAAATAATACTCTGGAACCATGAAAAGAGTTGTAACAAGCTTTTATAAGGTGGGTGTGCACCACGATGTCATAATTGTACTGGTTGCATAGCATATATACTATTTTTTATATAAAATCGTATAATGAATGTTTCGGTAGACAGTAGAAATATTGTTCTGATACCACTAAGTTGCTCGTCTTATAAAGTGGGCACAATTGCCATTCTTCTATGACACACGATATAAATGCTATTTTCAGTTCTTCCATGAAACGTGATATGGCAACTCTCTTCTCTCAGGTTAACCAAAATGCTTCATAGAAATATTGCTAAAATCTCAAAACTCAGTTGCTAGATTATTTCTAAAGGCAAAGAAACGTGATCACGTCACTCCAATACTTCATTCACGTCATTGGCTCTCTTTATAGGCACGCATTGATAATGCGGTCTGTTCTGTGACACAACTTTTTCTCTGGTTCCTTGCCTTCCTATCTTACTAAACGTTATCTGTCTATTCACCCCCTCATTTACTTCGTTTCTCCGTTGACACGCGTATTCTTTCTGTTCCCGAGACACGCACTAAAACATACGGTGAGTGATCTTTCTCTTTTTTGTGCCACCAAACAATGTAATGCTCTCCCATTAAACATTTGCAATCTACTAATCAGCCAAGCCTTCATAACTGCCCTTAAGACACTTCTATACAAGCTCTACTATACCGACTCATTCTAATCCACCCTCTGACCGATAAACAATGCTCGATGCTGCTGGGTGCCGTCCATGGCTCCCCATGGGTCAATAGTACTTGGGTGGGTGAGGTCAATATTTTTACATAGCCGTGAATAACTTTATGTGATTATTTTTAATGTAACATTTTTTTTTGTTGCTAATTCTTATGTGAATTGCGGTGAGTCTAGCCCTAGCCTGGGGTACTGTGTTATATTAGACAACTTTAATAATAACAATAAAATAAATGCTTTATTTGAGTACTTCTATGAAACGTGATATTGATGACAGGGGATTGACATTTCGTCTTACCTTGGATGTCAAAGTAACAAAATGAGTCAAAGAGAATCATGAACGTTAACCAGAGTTTGTTTGATATTCCTTTACAATATTTATTGCAGAACATTTGATCTTACACGAAGCCCAATCGAATCTGCGCGACAGGCTCCTACCTTTGTCACAGAAATGGCCTTGGTATCCTGGGAAGCACTGCAGACAATATCCGTTGACGCGATCGCAAAGCCCGTCTTTACACTTCACCGAACAAGTCAAGGAACAGTCATCTCCGTAAAGGCCATTGACACAGCCTATGTCAAACAAATACATATCATGTCATCACTACCAACTTTAAGAATACAGCATTGTTAGAATTCAGTGAACTATTTTAAAACATGTTCTGAATGACACCTAAAAGATTTTGATTAATTAATTTTTACATTAAAGTAATTTTTTTTAAAAATATTTACTTCATAAAATTAGTATTCGACAAAAGTATAGGCTTTGACTTTTAAATAAAAAAATCTTAGTTTAGACAGGTTTATAACTAAAATTTCCATGAAGTAAAGCTCATATTGAGCATATTGATGCATCGCCAGGTTATAGAGATGTACACATTTTTAAAACGTTACTTATTTACCTTTCTATCTGAACAATTTTCTACTGAGAAATGATGAAACAAGTACAAAAAAAAAAAAAATTATTTAAATGTCCGTAACAACCTTGATCACAGAATCCAAATTGTGGGTTACAAGATGCGTGACTACATTGATTACTGCAGGAATGGATGCAATCTTTACCCCATGTCCCCTGAGTGCATTCTAAAGAATAACAAAAACGCATTTATTTAAAAGGTAGCAACTTTTCATTAATTTTTTTTTTTTTAAAATTTTTTTTAAATTTAAAAATGGAGTTTAAAACCTACTTCACTTAGCTAAAGTATGACTAATACTCCTGCTTGGGAGATACTTTTCTCATTGTTTGTATCTCGTTGAAATTGAAAGTGGAGAACAATACAAGGTATAAACCTGTAGTCTTCTAAATAAATCAAGTCTATAAAAGAGCCCCTCGAAACAATAAAAGTAAAATCATATTCGAAACAATCTACATAGAATGTACAATATATTAAACACATAACGTGGTCAAAAATATTGCATAGAACATAAAGCACAGTAACAAAATTATGAAAAGAGCAATTTGAGTGACAAATGTGATTCGATATTAAACATTCGTAGTGAATAAATTGACCCTGCAATGAGTTGTGATAGTTGGTCGAAATGAAGTAAGCGCGACTGCTCTCGCTTACATCAATTAATTAAACTATATTTTTACTTGCACAGCAGTCGTCCATGAAAAAAATCAAGTGCTCACGGGCTCTTATACCTGACTGTGTTATAGGACGTTATTTGTATGTCATTGGCATAGGATAAACTCTGTAACTCTCATCATCACCTTGATAACATTTCGACTCATATATATTTTGTCCGAAAACTGTTAAATCAGAAGACTTGTTTATTGGTGAGTCGCCTCATTCGTTGAAATCCATCTAAGTTATAAGTCTATGAAATTTGATTTTAATGCTGCATATAAGGATGTTTTTAAGGCTTATTGATGATATGAGTTTTCTTCTCACCTGATGAGAAACTGATTTTTTTTAAAAAATAATTTTTAAAAAAATATTCACGAAATCATAGATATGTGTTGGCGCTTTTATTAAGAACTATAAAATGGTCTTACCATGTATGCCAGGGCATGTTTAACATTTGTGTGGCTTACCAAAGAGCCTGAAGCTTATCCAAGAAGCCTGAGGCTTAGCCAAATAGCCTCGGGCTTAGCCAAAATAGACTCTGGCTTAGCCCAAATAGCCCGGGGCTTAGCCAAAATAGCATGAGGCTTAGCCAAAATAGCCCGAGGCGTAGCCAAATAGCCTAGGGCTTAGCCAAAATAGCCTGAGGCTTAGCATTCTTCATCTTCTGTCCTTGTTTAACAGGAAGTTGTCCGGAAAGGTCCAGTCACAAGCTATGAGTTCTCCTGAACGTCCATTAGGTTGACTCTAAGAAAGGCCTTGCACGATCCATAGCTTGATCTTCTTTTTGCTCTAAAACCATAGTCCCTGGAATTTTTTGAAATGCAGTGCTGGCTTTTTGCGGCTCCCGACCAGATGGCCAAAAAGTATGTTTCGTTTTGAAAAGTATACCGGACCCGTTCGTTAAACCAACTAATTTGCTTTTGAGAAATATACTGATCAGATTTTGTGTGTATGGTGTTAAATGATTTTAAAATAAAATTATTTTAGGTAACTATGGTCGCGTGAATATTTGATGAGTTCCCATAATCCCCCGTCCGCAAACAGGGGTTTACCACTGCCTCTGAGCCATGGGCGCCACAGGGGTGGGGGTGGGGCAAGGGGGGCACTTGCCCCCCCCCCGGATTAATTGGATTAAAAAAAATTGTACAAAAATAGACAAAAAATTTATAAAAGAAAAGAGAAAATAAAGAGAAAGTAACTAAGCTGATGTCCTGTCCGTTCGTTCACCATAAAAATACGCTACAGTAAATTAAAACTACATTAAAACATTACTAAAAATTGAATTTATAAAAGAAAAGAAAAAATAAAGAGAAAGTAACTAAGCTGATGTCCTGTCCGTTCGTTCACCATAAAAATACGCTACAGTAAATTAAAACTACATTAAAACATTACTAAAAATTGTTTACCCCCCCCCCCCGGAAAGTTAATCAATTTTTTTGCCCCACCCCTAGAAAGTTTTCTGCGGGCGCCCATGCTCTCAGCAATATTTTTGTTAATAATGTATTTATTTTTAAAAAAAAATACTCTACTAGAACCTACTTTGAATACAAAGGGGTGGAATGGTCGGTCCAAGACAGCCGAGCTTACAAGTTCCGTCTCTGTAACACTCACCGAGTGTACATCTGCCCTCGCAAGTCTCACAGTAGAGTCCAGCTGTCTTAAGGGGGCAGTCTGTGAAATTATCGTCTCATGTTAATGACTGCCCAAGTTGGGTGTCTGTGCGGTCTAAACTGCGTCAATATGAAGTAATGTGGATTGTAGTTCAATCCTTAGCAAAAGCATACACTGGTTTAAAAAAAAAAAGCATCACCAACAGCCACGTTCGATAGAACTCGTTTGAGGGCTCTCCGCCCAAGAGGAGAGAGCTCTGAAGGCAGACCCGAAGAATGAGTCCAGCAGATGGCATGACACCAAGACAGAGGGAGAAAACTGGCAACTCACGAAACGCCTCCCTTTCCAAGCTGTTTCAGCCAAACGTGATTTTCCATTTGGTCAATTCAGATCCGTGCAGAGATCTGATTGGCTGATTTACGTACCAGTTTGTCCTTGTTTAAAATTCAGTCAACTTGCGATCTAATATTTTTTTTTTTTTTGCGAATTCTACGTCCTGATTCGCGTTGTGATGAACGGGTTGAGAATGATGCCGAAAGTTCTTTGGGACTTTCACAAACTCTTTAAAGGAAAATATTTCGTAGCAAATGTGGTTGCCCATTCGCTTCCCGTTTGTAAATTCATTTGGTGAAGTGCGTACGGTTGTAATCGAAAAAAAAAAAAGAACAACTGGTAGAGTAATAATAACTTTGAGAGTATCATCCTGTCGTTTGTCCCGTAATGCCAATTAATCTTAACGAATTGCAATGTTTCGTTCAGATTGGATCGACCTAGGAGAGAGCTATTGTACGATACATTACCCCCGAATGCTTCCACCTCGCACAAAGGCATCACGTCTTCAATTAACGTCGAATTGACGATGACATATCTCCACGGGGATTTCCAGTGTCCATTTAAAACTTCGTTGATCTTCTTTTTGTCTGTTGTGTAATCCTGTACACGCACTTGAAGATCGTTTCTGGCATTGTAAGCACTAAGGTCAAATTTTACGTGCAAATCTTCTGGAAAACAGGGAAACGATGAAAGAACAGCATTATAACGAAACAACACAATTGCAAGACAAGTTATTACTGTTGCAATGATAACAAAAGAAACGAGGGGGGAAAAAAAGATATATGAAGGGTTATGTTTTTCTTATACCGATGTAACTCACTAAAGTCCTCCCTGGCGTACAGAAGAATTCTGGTGATCATAAAATCCTTGTTGAACGTAAGTGTCAAGGAAATTACCGGTTTCGCACAGGTGTCGTACTTGGGAGAGCTGTTCCCATCCACTGCCAGGCTGGATGAACCTTGAGAAATCGTTTGGGAGTTTTCTTCAATCGAGACATCCTGTTTCAGTGCAATATTTCGGCCTGGAATTAAAGTAACATACGCGTGTTTGTACGAATGTATTATGAGATGGAACACAGACCAAAAAAAAAAGGGTTTTAAATTTCAAGAGTTGATAACTTTTCTGCAAGCGCCTCGCCCTCATGCAGAATAGCACGATTTCTTTATAAGTGTTTGATGGCAATCTGATTTCTTTATAAGTGTTTGATGACAATCTGATTTCTTTATAAGTGTTTGATGACAATCTGATTTCTTTATAAGTGTTTGATGACAATCTGATTTCTTTATAAGTGTTTGATGACAATCTGATTTCTTTATAAGTGTTTGATGACAATCTGATTTCTTTATAAGTGATGACAATCTGATTTCTTTATAAGTTTTTGATGACAATCTGATTTCTTTATAAGTGTTTAATGGCAATCTGATGTAAAATTATGAGAAAATAGATATATGTGTTTCTCTTTTTTTTATAATTGAAACTATATATTTGAGCATTCTGGATTTTTTTAAAAATATTGGTTATGATTTTTGATTTAATACATTTAAAGAAAAATGGAAACGGAGAGATAATTGTTATGATAAAAAGCTCATCAAATTCGAATTTTTCAACATTCTTATCATCTGGAGAAAGTTAAAATTATTAGTTAGTTTTTTTTTTTCGGGGTCTGGGGGTGTGGCTGGGTACACAGCAATGCTATTATTGTAATGCATGTTTTAGGAAGAGACTGAAGACTGAGATGTAATGAGCCTTTAAAAAAAAAAAAGGGAAATAAATAAAATAAAATCATTAGCAGTTGCGTCACATGGATTCCATACCGCCATTTATTTGCAGGGCACACAGGTTCTTTAACTGTGAACCGGAGAGGATGACCTTCGATACCGGTTCGTTGAGATAACAGCTGAGCTCGAACCTACGACCCGATTTCGTGATGGGTACAACATCTATGTGGTCGCAGCCAATAAATTCTCCAGGCCTTCCAGACTTTTCAAATAGTAAAGCGACGTTATCCGCTTTTTCTAATATGTGATTTTGAAGAAAAAAAAGGAGAACAAAGTAATTTTCAAAATAATTACGTTAAAAATCAATTTTTTTTTTATAGAAAGCTATGCTTTCTACGAGCTCATGGGAATTTGTTTTTGAATTTTCTTAAAACAAGAAATGCTATAAATAATCACCCTGCAAGTCGCAACAATTCTTTCAAACCAAATGTTTCTTAAGATAGAACGAATTTTAACAAATAAAATTTCACTTTTCATTAGTTTAAAAAGAAAGTGCATAGCGATGTGTGTGTGCGCGTGTGTGTGTGAATGTGTGTATGTGTGTATGTATGCGTATACGTATGAATGTATGTTTGTTATGTATGTATATATGTATGTTTGTTATGTATGTATGTATGTATGTTTGTTATGTATGTATGTACGTATGTACGTATGTATGTATGTATGTATGTATGTATGTATGTATGTATGTATGTATGTATGTATGTATGTATGTATGTATGTATGTATGTATGTATGTATGTATGGATGGATGTATGTATGGATGTATGATTGTATGTATGTATTTATGTATGTATGTATGTATGTATGTATATATATTTCTCTATGTATGTATGTATGAATGTATGTATGTATGTATGTATGTATGTATGTATGTATGTATGTATGTATGTATGTATGTATGTATGTATGTATGTATGTATGTATGTATGTAGTATGTATGTATGTATGTATGTATGTATGCATGTATGTATGTAAGTATGTATGTGTGTATATAAATATGTATATATGTATTTATGAATACAGGCGAAGGCCTGGACCGGCAGGCTGTAGTCCAGGGCACCTCTTTCACTCCCAAGGTAAATATTTTTCAGGAGTTTTGAGTCAGCTCCCCAGGTGGTGCTGGCAAGTTTTTTGATCATGCTGAGTTTTGACGTGGCTCGAGCGCCTTGTTCCCGCACATGATTGTGAAGTTGGAGTTTTTGGTCCAACTTAACGCCCAAGTACGTGGGTGATTTGTCCCATTTTAACCTTTTCCCGCAGATTTGGAGGTCGATGTTCTCCTTTGAAGCATTCTTCCCGTTTGTGAATAGCGAAATAAACGGACTTTTCCGCATTCACCACCAATCTCCATTTCCTAGCGTAATCCTGTATCTTAGTGAGATCGTTCTGCAGCCGGTTCTGCAGCTGCTGGATGGATTTGCCAGAGCTCCAAATCGCTAGATCGTCCGCGAACATTGTGTTCTTCGTTACCAACTGTGACTGCAGGTCGTACACATACGCCAGGAACAAGGTGCAGCTCAAGGCTGACCCCTGTGGGAGTCCATCCTCGAGTGCACACATGTTCGAAACCTTGTCCCCTACACGGGCTGGATATCGTACGGTTTGATTAAAACCGCAGCCACACTAAAGTGGACGAACTATATCTATAAAGGTTTGTGTGTGTGTTTGAGTCCAAGTGTGTGTCTGTGCGCATCTGCTCGTGTGTGTTGTTGGGTTGATGGGTGGATGAACCCAATAATGTATATGTGACGAATGAATGTATAAGTAAGCGTGCGTGTGTATAGGGGTGTGTTCGTATGTGCGTGCGTGTCTGAGTTTGTGTGGCACTATATATATCTCGCATCACCCATTCAGTTATGGGGTATGTGGTGGTGAGCATGTTGGTCAACGAGCATCTAATTCGCAACGTCAAACATTTACTCATTTTTATATTATTAATTGGCTGAAAATTAGAGTGTTTTATTTTAGCATTTTGTAAATACATGTAATATATAAAATGAAGTAGCAGAGGGTAATATAGAGATAAAGAGAGAAAAACAGAGACAGTGAGATTGAGTGAGAGACCGAGAGTGAGTCAGAGTTCATCTGAGGCGACAAAACGTGCCACCTTTAATTTTGCGTCTATTGCCACGTGCAATGAGACCCACCGTTCATTTTACCCTTGCTGAGTAGCCTTTGCAACCAGTGAATTATCCTGTTCAATACCAGACAAAGAAGCATTGCAAATCGCCTCAAAATTCATAGGACCAGAATAATCAATACATTCATCGTTGGACCTCAATATATATAGAATAAAAAGAAGAGAGACCGATAGATAGAGACAGAAGGAGAGACAAAGAGTGAGAGAGAGAGAGATTATAAACTCGAATTCAACTTAATCTTCATACCTCCTTCCTTCACTGTTAAATGGAGCCAAGTGAATACCAGTTGCAATTCAAATTTCACTGTAACTGATTGCAGACCCGGATTATTGTTACACGTGCTGTCACTACCATCCGTTAACCAGTTCAGAGGAATGTCACTCGGAACTCCGGTCACAAAAGTATTTGGGATTTCCATGAAATTTTCTTTATTGGCAGGAAATGGGGGTTGGCAATGAAACAAAATTCAGGGCGTTAATTATAATAGCACACGTGATTATTTTTAAAAAAATAATCAGAGGATAGAATATGAAAATTAAATGCATTTTTAGTTATAAGTATTCATTTTGTGTACAACATATCATTGCAACTAATAATAATAATAATAATAATAATAACGAAAGATTAATATTTGCTTGAATATAGGCAAAATGAAAATAATTTTCTTTAAATAGGGGATTGGTTCAAACTTGAACATATCTCCGAAATATTCATTGGGTAAAAGTAAAGCACAGATCATATAAGGGAGTTTTTACCTTATAAATATGTCAACTCTGAATTAAAATTAAAGGCAAAGAGTTACATGTGACGTCGTTAAAGAGGAGGGGGGTCGCACACTAGCATAGCCAATAAGTAGCAGGTGCATCGGCTGACTCTCTCTAAAGTGGGCCAGTTCTAGAATTATTTATATATATATAAATAAATGTGATAACTCGAAAAGCGCAATTTTACTTAATAATATGCTTTGTATAAATTAATAATCGATAACTGGTTTTTCAATGTCACAAAACTATCACCGATTTATTGAAAATTTAAAAAATAACAAAATAAATCCATGTTTTAAAAAAATATAAATATACCGTATATATAAATAAAATACTTATAATGAATAAATATCATGTTTCTCTTCTTGAGTCGGCTAATACAGTCATTTTTTTTAAAGAATAGATTACATGTTCTAAGAGTAAACATACAGAATATCCTCGTCTATTCAATCCTGCATTTATTCTGCGATTTATGTCATTTAGAGTACTCTGAATATCGCATGACAGTCATGTCACTGGTAATCAACAAGGGACCGCCATCGCGTCCTTATCCCAGCGCTGAGCATAACTATCCTGTACAGAGGCTCGCCTAACATTTCATTTGACTGCTCTAGGGCATCCTCAATGCTTAGATATCTGGGACTAAAGATACTAACGACTGAGACTCAAATTTAAATTTCAAAGGTTACTCATAATAAAAAAAACTGTTGAAGTGAACCTTTGGGGTTACTTACGGTACTGACACAGGTAATCGAACCATCCTCTTTCGCAAGATGTGTCGACGCATTCCCCGGTCTCGCTGCACTTCATGTCTTGACAATGGCATTTGTATTGGCACTGAGACCCGAACCAACCAGTCGAACACGCTATCGATGATGAGAAAATCGAAGTAACATATATTGATTTAAAATGTAAAGCTCTTCGAATATATATATTTATATGAAATGGTACCATAGCTATGGTTAGTGCCACCCGATTGGGGACTAGATGTTGGCAGACCCCATTCCATAAAAAAACAAAAAAACAAACACAATCCTGCTGTTAGAAGAAAATTCTGCCCCAGAACATAGACGGTATTTCTGTATATGGCTTGTATTCATTACAGGTGTATTGACTTACCACTGCAGTTAATTATTAACAAACATGCTGTCATTAGTTGAAGTGACTGGAACATCACACTGATCCCGCTCATGATGCTGCAAAGGGAGGAAGAGGATAAAATTAGATCCAAATCAATTAACAGAACGTAGCATTATCTGAACGTGTAATCACCAAAAGTACCGTTTAGGGTTTCTGACTCTTGACCACCGTCAGTTTCAATTTATACTACATTTAATCCTAAAATTTCAGAGGAGATCCGATGAAATCTATGGGCTTCGCTCCTTGAATCATTCAGAGAAGAAAAACGTACCGTCCTTACTCAAAGGCAGCGCAAACGCAAAGAAAACCAGGATAGCCTTTGTGCAATATTTGCGTCAAACGTCGCAGAGACAAATGGCACTCACAACATAACTGCTTAAAAATGGTCGATATCAGTCCCTTGTTTTCTAGACTTTTAGCGCGTTAGATTGTTATTATTATTATTATAAGTAATTTATATAGCGTGGCAACCCAGCCTAGGACTGGGCTCAACACGCTGGACACACAATTTAACAAACATCATCATGAACTTTAAAAAAATTAACTAACATACATTAATTAAATTTAAAAAAAAAAAATTAAGATTATAAACTATTTACATGTCAAGCCATGGACGATACCAAGCAGCATCGTTTTCGGTCAGAGGTGGAATCAGACGGGATATTAGAGATCAAAGAGATGTGTTTTGAGTGCAGTTTTGAAGGCTGTGATGCTCGGGATATTGCGAATGTGTAATGGAAGAGAATTCCATTGTTTAGGAAAACCGAAAAAAGAAAGATCGTTCACAGTTTGATTTTGTGCGAGCCTTGGAGACAGAAAGAATACGGGCGTCTGCGGAGGGGCGAAGCTGTCGAAGGAGTGCATAGACAGAGAGAAGTTCAGTAAAATAGCAAAGCCAGGAATTTGAGAAAAAGTTGTGGCAAAGAACAGAGAGTTTGTAGTCAATCCGTGCTGCTACAAGGAGCCAATGTAGTGAATAAAGTGGTGGTGTGACGTGGTCACGTTTTTTTGCCTACATAACTAGCCGTACTGCTGTGTTTTGAACCTTTTTTAATTTTTCTAAGAATTGTTTTGGTGAGCCTGACAAAAGAGAGTTGAAATGGTCAAGACGAGAGAGAAAATGAGCATAAACTAGGGTTTATTGTTGCACTAACTGTGAGATAGTAGAGGATGGAGCTGATTTGGAGCATAGCAGTTTATGCAGAGCGACAAATGTGAGAGATATGTTTATCAAGAGACATGTTAGACAGAATATAAACAAGATTCCTATCGGAGGATGTACACTTTATGTTCGAGTTACCTACTTGCAACGAGGTGGGAAGAGCTGAGTTAGAGGATGATTTGTGATTGTGAATGAGGAGTGTTTCCGTTTTGTCATCATTAAGCTTCAACATGCTTAGCGTCATCAATGACTTGATAGCACCAATGCTATACCGCGAAGTCCAGATAGCGGAATCGACTAGAGAGGGATTGATATGCTTGTATAGCTGCTTGTCATCTGTGAATGACTGGCTCTCCACAGCGTGCCTCCCGAGCAAGAGGAGCAGTGGCCATGTATAGATCATGAACAGAACGGGGCCCAAAACGGGGCCCAAACGGACCCCCGTGCCACTCCGTACACCAAGTCCGCACTGCCGGAGAGACAGTAATCGACAGCCACCTATCGGAGAGGTAGGACCGAAACCAAGCAAAAACTGAGCCAGGTATTCCAAAGTATTTTATAGGGTTTTTGCAAATGGTTTCAGGTCAACAGTGTCAAAGGCCGCGCTGACGTCTAAAAGGATCAGGCTGGAAATATCACCGCTGTCCATTTATGACGTCAAGAAATATAAGTTGCAGTAAGGGGATTACTTTCTAAATTGACTATAACAAGTTGTTTGCAACAAAAAACAAGTTCTACCTAACTTGAATAACATCCAGTGGAACCTCGTCTAAAATTGTTTTACTAAGTTATGTTGTATTTTTTTTTCAGCCATGGAGACGCACCAAAAGCGTTTAAATCCAAATTTTTTATGGTGCGTTCAACAAATCTATGGGAATCTCCGCTTTGCTTATTTTATTTATTGGGATCATAACATACATTTTTTAAGGCAATCGTTAATTTTTCAGTTATGTTTTATACAAGTGATCTAGTTATTATAGTAAGTTTTTTTTTTTAAAATAGGGTCGCCAATATTTGACAAAATGGTTCAAAACGTATTAAATTTCTTTTAAGGTTTGATCTGAGTTTTGTTTTATCAACAACATTTGGTCCTCTCAATTACTTTCACTTTCAGTGTCGACAGAGTATCCCTTTTTCGTTTCATTTATTGATTGATAATGAGTTGATAAATTATCCATAAACAAATTTATTAAGACAAAGGAATTATGCATTAATAACTGGAAAAATGGAATGAAACCTAATTTATTATTACTTCTTTGAATTTTCAGTGGGTTCAGTCGCAAACCACTGTTTTGTCTTTTAAGAAATTACAGTAATAATTTCTGAAACTTAAAATTCATATACAATCGCGAATAAATTAACGGCACCATCAATTGCTAGTTTTTCTGCTCGAATATGTGATACCAACAGGTGTACCTGTGTAAGAAAAATGGTGCTATCAAATAGCACAATGAAAAACAGACATGAATTGATTGAAGTCACCTTTAAAAAAAAAAAGAAAGTTTCTATTCTTATATAAAGTCACTTAAAAGTGCAGTTTCTAGTTATTACAAGTCGATGAAAGATTACAAACAACACTAAATGCCAACGTGATGTGTTCTTCTGGGATAAAATCAAGCTCACGAGGGGAAAAAAATATCTTTTATAGACGCCAGTAAAGGCAATCCCCTGAAGAAATTTCTTTGATAAGTACAACAAAGGAAATGGCTTTTGATTCGGAGACATGCATGGGATTAGTGGTACGATGGAATTTACGGAATGGCAGGCATTTTTTGTTGAGTGCATGATGGCAGTGAACTGAGCATACAGTTTATCGTCCCATCATTAAATAGAAACTGCGATCATCACATCACTATAATTTTTTAATTTCTTTTTTTTTTTTAAATGGCAGACGTTCAAGTGCTTTTTAACTAGTTCATAAAACTATAAAAATGGATTTCGAAGATATTTAAACGGCATTGCTCTCATGATTATCCAGCAACGGGGATAAATTCATTGCACGATTTTCTCAACGCCTGAGTGAAGAATTTGAAAGGAGAACAAGATAAAAAAATAAAGATATCATCGTTTCTCGTATCTTACATATTTTTTTTAAATATTAGCAGAGAACCTCACTGAGGCTTCTAAACCCTTTATAAAATGTTTGGAGCAAATGGTTGGGGCAAAAATTTGTCAATGCATGCATTAAAGTAACGCACTGTGCAACAACTCAAATTATTGCTAAATCAATCCTCGCAACAACACATTTTTAAACTAAACAATAACAATATTATTATAACACCGCTGATTTACTTCAACCAATATTTCAGAAAAAAAAAAAAAAGTATTTCGCATGATACGCACTTTGACATCGACTATTCTTTTTAAAATAATTTATTTAGCGCAGCCATCGAGAATTTTATATCATGAAATCGGTTTCATCCTATTTCCTGCAACTTCTTCTTGAAAAGTGTAGAGATTTGGTGATTGGAGTCGGGGCAAAAAATTTGAACGAAATTGTTGTCAGATGCAACGCGTCTTTTTGCCAAGTATATCAGCCCCAGCAACGAGTCTATTTGCCAAGTTTTATCTGGGCAACGAGTCTATTTTCTGAGTTTCAGCTCGGAAACGAATCTAATTGCCAAGTTTCAGCTCGATAGGATAACGGGTAGAGGTTCGGTTAGCCGTCCGAAGATTTTTATTCTAGCCAGTCTGCCACCAAACCAGCCAGCCTCAACAAAAACGAAAATAATATATATGGATAAGTTAAACAAACCTTTGAAACGTTTTTGCCCTATAAATCCTTTATAAAATATAATATCCATCATTTAGTGTTTACTTTCTCAATGCTCAGAACCGCTTAATTTTTAAAAGCCTGAACACTATATTGATATTTAATAACCACAAGGCTTTTAAACCACATATTTTTCCCCAACTATTTCAGAAAAAATATATTACGCATCAAACGAATATATATTTTTTTTAAAGACTCTTCTTTTTGCGCACGTATTGGGAATTTTATTTTGTAAAATCAGTGTCATATATTTTCTTCATCTTCGCCCGGAAAAATTGTATTTTTGTTTTTGTTTTGGGGGGTGGGTGGGTTAAGGTTAATTTTTTTTATAGAATATTTTGTCATCGGCAACAAGTCTATGTATCAAGTTTCACTTCGATAGGTTGACGGTAAGTGGGTCAACTAGGCCATCCAAAGGTTTTGCCAGTCCGCCACCCAGCCAGTCAGCCCCCCAAACCCCCCCTCCCCCCAAAAAGATGCAAAGTTAATATAAACTATTTAAAAATAATCATAGAGCTGTTTATGTTATGAAAATAAACAGTTTTTTTTTTAAACAACACTAATAATATTTCAAAATTTCACTATCGTTGAATGAATGAATGAGTGTAGTCTCGACAACAGAAAAAAACGTGAAATTAAACTAAGCCTATGTTGGCTAGTGTTTAAAGCCCAGCATAAGACTAGAAATACCATCAACGCACACTCTCTCTCACACACACAGACACACACACACACACACACACACACATGCACATACTAAACTTTACTAGCACTAGGAAAACGTGACACTAACACATCATCGGTCCTAGTAGCTACAACGTCTCCGTTTCATGCTACGGAAGTGAACCTTGATGTTTTTTGTAACTCTTTACTTTTACTTGTTTCCAGCGAGATTCAGTGAGAGAGAGAGAGAGAGAGAGAGAGAGAGAGTAATCGAATGTGCAGAAGCGGTTCATTCATTAAATTAAAAACAAAACAAAACAAACAAAAAACACAGAAAAAACACGACCAAAATGAAAAATAAAGTGGCCTAGCTCGGGAACACTTGTAACGTGATAAATTTACTTTGAGACGTTCGTCAAATGCAATATATAAATATATATATACATATATTCTGAAGTACAAACAGAAAGATTTTACCTTAAATTAATTTAATTGATTACAAAAACTCACACGGTGAATACGCTACTCATGTAAAAATTAAAATCAATACAAAATGGTATGTCATTTCCTTTTTATTAGAAATGCCCTTACAAGTTTAATCACGCGTACGATGAACAAAAATGTTAATATTGCTGAGCGTACTCATTATGTTTTCATTCAAGATTCTACTATGTCCAATATGCTGAAAAAAAAAAACATGGTTTTAATATTCCAACAAGATCTTTTTGATTTTTTTTTCGTTGATAATTTAAACAGAATAAATTTTTTGTCCAAACGGTTTTGGCTCCATATCTCCATTAGTTTTCTTTAGGTCCTCAATACAGACAAAAGTAGACTTTCCTTGACATTTTAAGGTTGTCGGTTAATTGTAACTGAAATGAAAAAAAAAAAAAAATCAAGCTCAAATATGTTTCAATTTATAAAATAAAGAAATCTCTTTTACAGACTATGAACTCAGTCATACATTTTTTGAGGAGTAAAATCATTATCTTGAAAATAAATGGTAATTTTTTGTTGTTTTTGTAAACATTGGTTGGGTAATGATTCAAAATTCAACATGGGTGCGAGAGTGTATTTATGAGCGTAGAGTGGTATGAGTCGTCTCCTCGATTGCTAACTACATGGCTTGTATTTTAAAGACGAGGGGAAAAAATTGCGAGAGATCTAATTTCCAGTTTGAATAGAGGACACGAACTCCCTGCATACTTTAATTCATAACGTTATACTAGTGAAGATAAATATATTATATTATATTTTTGCGTGTGGATAAATTAGTAACTATTAAACAAACAACAACAAAAAAAGCGATGGATTAATAAGTCAAAGTTCACATGTCAGACAGTCCAGATAACAACACCTCCTAAGTGTTGTTAGAGAGATTGTTGACTTTATTTAAAAAAAAAAAAAATTAAAAAGCAATATGGAAATGCTGGGATTATTGATTTCATAAAACTTTGTAATTTGGCTGTCTTTATGAGATGCAAAACTTTTATTTAATAAAAAAATAAAAATATTGTTAAACCCTTACTCAGCATCTTCAAGTCGACAGTTGTCTGGGCATTTTTGTTTGTTTTCCTCTTCTCATCATGCCGCATAGGCATTTCCCGCACAGTGGTAAGACAATACAGCTGAGGCCAACACCCAGTCCAAGGCAAAAAATATAAATTTTATCCAGTCTTAAAATTTCCTGTAACAGTGTCAAGGCTGTAAAGAAAAGAAACAACAAAGCATTAGAGGCTGTCCACCAGCGATGTCCGCACAACATAAAAATGCCCTGCCCCTATTGTCCATTGGTCCGAGTTTTTCCGCATTTGTCCGCATGTAGCTTAAACACGACCCCAAGGTGATGAGGACGTCCGGCAAATGCACTCGGCTTTTTTTATACGGTGAGAAATGACGGGAGGAATATAAACTATGACGAAGAGGAAATAATCGCTTGCTTGTTTTAACTCCATTATAGGATAACAGAGTCATTCACGTAATGTCCTAAAGATAATTTTTTATTTGTTTAAAAAAAAACTATTTTGCGGACGTCCGCAAGATTCTTTAAACCCGTCTTACTCTACCAACCCCTTTTTATCTACACTTGTCCGTTTTTGAATAAAGTCCCAATTTCCCCCCCCCGAACCCATAAAAGGGTTGCCCCCGTGGCCAATACAAGGTTCACCTATAATCTCAAATACAGACTTTTTCTGAGGGTCACAGATGCCAACAAAGGTTATCCCTCGAGTATCTTTAAACCCGTCTTACCCTACCAACCCCTTTTTATCTACACTTGTCCCTTTTTGAAAAAAGTCCCAATTTCCCCCCCCCCCCCAAAAAAAAATATCGCCGCGGACATCATTAGTTGACAACCGCGTATTT